GGGGCCTTTGCAGTGGCTGTTCCCGTGGCCTGGAATTCCCTTCCCTTCCCTGAGACCAGCCCTTTCTCATCCTTGCAGTCTCTGCCCAGACGCTGCTTCGTCACCAAGGCACTGTCTGTTCTGTGGCCCCGATGTTTGTTGATGCTCATTCTTAACATCGCTTATCTTGTTGGCACGGCATTCTGTCTGTCTGCTACACCTAGGCGGAGTTTTGTCTCATGGAGGGCTGTGTCCCAATCTCCAACCAGTGCACCCAGTTTTATAGCTTATATAATTTAAAAAATTTTCCTTTTTTTGCTAGAGGGCCCATGTGCTCACCAGACAGGGAAGGAGGAAGAAAACCCCCCCAAATGGGGTGTAGTCATGCCCCAATCCTTTCTCTGCCCTTTCTCCACCCTGCTGGGATTTTGGACACATGCCCAGCTTGTTTTTCAAGCTGCCAGGGTCGGTTTCAAACCATAGTTAGCCCTGTGAGATCGGGCTTCCTTAACCACCAGACTACAGGGCCGGCCCTTACGTGGTGTCTTTATTTTTTGAGGATTTTTTTCATTATTTATGATAGAACATGTATGTGCACACATGACAGTGAGAGAGAGAGAGGAACATCTGGTCATGCCACAGTCCCCTTCCTCCAGGAAGTCCTCCAGCTCATCAGATCTTGGGGACTCAGGCATGTACCCAGCATATTTCCAGCTAAGCGGGCCAGGGATTTGAACCTGTGGAATCTGGCATCACTTGAGCAGCACGTTACTGCTCCGCAATGGAGACAGCCCAGCACACAGTAATTTTTTTTTCTTTTTTTTTTTTAGAGAGGTTTTTGCTGTAGGGCGCATGTGCTCGCCAGAAAGACAGAGACAGAGAGACAGAAAGCGAGAAATCACCCCCTCCTGGGTGGGAATGGCCACACCACAATCCCTTCCCCTCCGTTCTCCTCTCGGGATCTTGGGCACGCACGCACATGCGCCCAGCGTGAGTTTAAGCCACCGGGACTGGGACTCGAACAGCAATCCGACCAACCACACCACGGGAGTCCAATGTCATTACGCCACCTGCTGGTCCTTTGTTATTACTTTCCAATTTGACCAGAAAGAGACAGAAGGAGAGAGAAAGGGAAAGTGAGAAAGTAAGTCACCAGGTCTAGGACTTGAACTCTGGTTGACCAGGTGGGAGTCCAGCGCCTTAACCACGCTTTATGGAACCTACTGTGTCATGCTGTTCTTGCTTCACCCTTTTGTTCCAGGGCCTGGAGACGCCCAAACGCTGGTATTCCCCCAGAAAGCCATCCTGCCCAGGGGCGGCTCCATACAGTTGAACTGTAGCGCCATCTGTAATGTGACTGCCCTCTTGGGCCTGGAGACACCACAGCCCAAAAACGAGTTGGACAAGGGCCCGAACTGGAAGGTCTTTGAACTGAATGACGTGTCAGAGGACACCACCCCGCTCTGCTTTTCAAACTGTGGCACCAACCAGTCAAACGCCCAGGCCTCGCTTACCGTGTACTGTGAGTAGCTGGGCGGAGGGTGGGCGGGGCTATGCAGATTATGTGGGGTGGGCGGGGCATCCCAGCAGGAGGGTGGAGCCTTTGTGCTTTCGTTGGGGGAAGAGAGGCTCTGTGCTTTGAGGAGCTGGGGTGGGCGTGGCTGGAGGCGGGGTTATGCAGATAAAGGAGGGGAGGTGGGCGGGGCATCCCAGCAGGAGGGAGGAGCGGCAGTGAGACATCCTTGGAAACTCCCGTCAGTCAGTATTTGCAAGTCCCTCCCAGAACTTTTTTGGGTGTGTTGAGCGTATTATCAGGAATTAGCACGTTCCAGAAGGCCCGCTCTTGGGCTGGTGCTGCAGCCTGGTGGTCAAGAGAGCTGAATTCTGGGACCAGCAGATGGTGTAATGGTTACATCCTGGACTCCCACGTGTCTGAGTGTGGGTCGAGTCCCGGACCTGGTGACTTAAAACTCATGCCAGATGCATGTGCGCCCGTGTGCAAAATCCCAAGAGAAGAACAGAGGAGATGGGATTGTGGCACGGGGTGTGAGTTCTCACTTTCTGTTTCTCTGTCTTTCATTCTCTCAAGTATAGACACCCCTAATACACATGTAAGAGAGAATACCAACTCTATGCTTTATGCCTTAAACACAGGACAGAGCCCTGAATCTGAAGCATTAAAACAAGATGAGGGGCACCAGCAGGTGGCATAGTGGTTAAGGCATTGGACTCTCACACGACTGACTATGGTTTGAGTCTCGGACTTTCTGCTTGAAACTCACACCTAGTATGTATGCATGTGTGCCCAAAATCCCAAGAGGAGAATGGAGGAGGAGGGATTGAGGTGTGGCCATCCCTCCCACCCCCCGCGGGTGATTTCCCGCTTTCTGTCGCTTTCTTCCCGCTCTCTGTCTGTCCATGTCTCCAGCATGTGCATGAGCCCTATAGCAAAAAAAAAAATTTTAGTCTGGTGGTTAAGGAAGCCAGATCCCACATGACCAACCCATGCTGTTCAAATCCCAGCCCTGGCAGCTTATAAAACACACGATGCACATATATGTGCATGCCTAAAATCCTGATGGGGGTAGAATGGGGGAGACGGGACTGCGTCATGACTATGCCTAGCAGGGGTGCTTTCTCCCTTTCCCCATGTATCATATGCACCCTTTGGCAAAACAAAACAAACTAGCCACGGGACCAGCAGTCGGCATAATGGCTATGTTGCTGGACTCCCATGTAGTCGACCACAGTTCGAGTCCCAGACCCGGTGGCTTCAACTCACACCAGGCACGTGTGCGTGCATGCCCAAGATCCAGAGAGAAGAATGGAGGAGAAGGGATTGCAGCTGCCCTAGGGGGTGATTTCTCACTTTCTGTCTCTCTGTCTCTCTGTCTCTCTCTGTCTTCAAAACAAAACAAACAACTAGCCATGAAATGGCACTTTTTACACACTGGCAACAATCAAAAGAATTGGTAACAGCTGTGCTGGCAAAGCCAGTGGGAGTAGGCCGTCCTGGGTCAGTGCTGATGAAGTCTAATAAACACAACCCAGTGGGGCCCGGGCATCATAGATCAAAATGTCATGTGCAAGGGCAGCGAGTGGTGTAGTGGTTAGGGCACTGGACTCCCCCATGGCCAACAGTGGTTTGAGTCCTGGACTTGGCAGCTTGCTTTCTCACTTGCTCTCTCACTCTGTCCCTCTATGGTCAAAATAAAATAAATAACTAAGGGGTGGGGCAGCAGGTGGCGTGGTTGTTGGGGGCGTTGGGCTCCCACATGGCCAACCATGATTCAAGTCCTGGGCATGGCAGCTTGCTTTCTCACTTTCCATCTCTCTCTCTCTTTCTCACTCTGGCCCTATCTGGTCAAACTAAAATAAACATAAAGTTAAATAAATAATTCTTTTTTTTTTTTTTGAGAGGTTTTTGCTATAGGGCACGTGCGCTCGCCAGACAGACAGAGAGAGACAGAAAGCGAGAAATCACCCCCCAGGGGGGATGGCCACGCCGCAATCCCTTCTCCTCCTTTCTCCTCTTGGGATCTTGGGCACACACGCACACGCGCCCGGCGTGAGATTTAAGCCACCGGGTCCAGGACGTGAACCGCGGTTGACTATGTGGGAGTCCAGCGACATAGCCATTACGCTAACTGCTGGTTCCCAAATAAATAATTCTTTAAAATAAATAAACAAATAAGGTTACATTTAAGAACATGAAATAATAAAGATAATACCTAAAACTAAATCAGTTTATATTTTAAATGGCTTACACAGGCCAGTAAGTGGCATGGTAGTTAAGGCGTTGGACTCACACACGATCAATCACGGTTGAAATCCTGGGCCTGACAGCTTGAGAATCACACCCAGCGCCTGTGCATGCGTGCCCCAATCCCGGGGTGCTTTCCCACTTTCCCTCTCGCTCTGTCTCTCTCTGGCAAGCCCGTGCACCCTATGACAAAAACCTTAAAAAAACAAACCAACAAAAAGATCACGTGTACATGTCCTGGGACCAAAACCCAGCTCCTGGGAGTTGTGCTCCCCAAGGGGCGTGGTGTGAGCCCAGGCATTCTTTTTTTTTTTTTTTTTGGAGAGATTTTCACTGTAGGGCGCATGCGCTCGCCAGACAGACAGAGAGAGACATAGAGACAGAAAGCGAGAAATCACCCCCCAGGAAGGATGGCCACGCCGCAATCCCTTCTCCTCCATTCTCCTCTCGGGATCTTGGGCACGCACACACACGTGCCCGGCGTGAGTTTTAAGCCACTGGGTCTGGGACGCGAACCGCGGTCGACTACGTGGGAGTCCAGCGACATAGCCATTACGCTAACTGCTGGTTCCCGAGCCCAGGCATTCTTGTACCTGCTGTCCCTTTCCCCTGGAATTCACTTTCCTTTTCTCCGAGTGGCCAGCCTTTTCTTGGTAAGGAAGACGTGACTGTCACCAGGCAGGTATTTGCTATGGCTTCGTTTGAAGGATCAAGTTTGCAAACCTCTGATGGGGGGACCTGGAGGGTGGGCAATAAACTGGTTTGGCCTTGCCCTAGACTGATGTGTATCCGAGGCAGCCCCCAGTGCTGCAAGGAGAAGAGCTCCCTGGGGATCAGCAGGTGGCACGGTGGTTAAGGCGCTGGGTTACTCCCACAGGGTAGACCAGGGTTCGAGTCCTAGACCTGGTTCCATGCTTTCTCACTTTCCCCCTCTCTCTCTTTGTGTCTCTCTCTCTGGTCACATTAAAATAAATGAATGAATAAATAAAGTAAAGTAAATAATTATTTAGAAAAGAAAAGAAAAGAAAGAAAAGAAAAAGAGCTCCCAGGTACCTTGTGAAGGTGGAAAGACAGAAACTATGCCAAGTATGAGAGGTATGCCCCACCCTCTGTTAGGGCAAGGCCCAGGCAGAGAGGCTGAGGCCCTACTTAAATGTAAATACACCCTGAGAGGCTCTAAATGAATTTTTTTTTTTCTCCATAGGTTTTTTTGTTTGTTTGTTTGTTTTTAGTTTTTGCTATGGGACACAGGCACTCACCAGAGACAGACAGAAAGAGAAAGCGAGAAATCACTCCCCGGGGGGATGGCCATGCCCCAGTCCCCTGCCCCTGAGATTCTGGGCATGCACATGTGCCCAACATGAGTCTTGCAGCCTCAATGCCACCTGCTGGCCCCCTGCTAGAAATTATCATAGGGGGGCTATCAGGTGGCCTGGTGATTGAGGCTCCGCGCTCCCACACGGCTGACTGCGGTTCAAGTCCCAGACCTCTTTTACAAACTTATTTCTCTTTCTTTCAGTCTCTCTCTGGTGAGTGCGTACTGTAGGAAATTTTAAAAAAAAAAAAAAAATTTCTTTTTTTTTTTTTTTTTTTTTGAGAGGTTTTTGCTATAGGGTGCGTGCCACACCACAATCCCTTCTCCTCCATTCTCCTCTCGAGATCTTGGGCACGCACACACACATGCCTGACATGAGTCTAAGCCACCGGGTCTGGGATTCGAACCAATGTCTACGACATGGGAGCCGTGTATCAGCATAGCCATTAGGCCAAGTGCTGATCCCGAATAAAATAATTCTTTAAGAAAAAGAATTAGGGGAGCAGGTGGCATGGTGGTTGGGGCGCTGGACTCCCACATGGCCGACCCCGGTTTGAGTCCAGGACCTGGTGGCTTGTTTTCCTACTTCTCTTTCTCTCTATCTCTCTCTGGTCAAATGAAACAAATAATAATGAAATAAAATAATTCTTTTTTTAAAACAAGTAATTCTTAAAAAAAAATAAAAACAAATGTTTATGCGTGGACGTCGTAAGGAGAGAAACAGGAAGTGTGTTCGGTCCACACTTTGTCCTTCGGGGACTTTGAACTTAGGAATGAGTTACCAAGGGATCAAATACATAAAACAAATGAGAAAGACAGAAAGGAAGGCGGAAAGAGAGAGCAGCCGGTTGGCTTAGGAGTGAGCCGGCTTTGATGCCTAGCCACAGACGCCCCTTACTAGCCAGGTGACCTCGGGGAATGGGTTTACTGTTGTCACCTGAGACCTCCACGGAGGGGGACCTTCACAAACACGGCAGTGAACCATGGAGAATGGCAGAGAAAGCCTTTGGGCAAATAGAACTTTGCAGACCAGCCAGGTGGTGGTTAAGGCAGGTGGATTCCACAGGGTCCACAGCGTGGTTCTAGTCCCAGCCCTGGCAGCTTCAGGGAGGAAAAAGCCCCAGAGATCAACTTCACTTCTGTTTCTGTCTAAGCAGATGCTGGCCAGCTGGCTAGGTGAGGGAAGTCCCCAAACATTCCAAATGGCCTCTGAAAACCCCCAGGAACCCTCCTCGAAAGACCTGCCACATCTGTGCTCGGGGTTGAGAGGCCAATGTTCTAGGTTTGCTCTGGATTCTGCTGAGTTCACCCTGGGCGAGGCGGGTGGCCATGTTGCCTCAGTGTCTGCCCCTGTGAAATGGAGCACCAAGTAGCAGAGACGTTATAGATGACCAACCAGCAGGTGACACGGAGGTTAAGGCAGCTGGACCCCACATCACCGACT